TTGAATTCTAATTTTTGATTTGACAAAGTCATTTAGAAAATCAAGTTTAACCTTCAATTTGAAAAATTGTTTGATAAATTCAATCTCAATTTTTGATTCGACAAAGTAATTTAAAAATTCAATTTTAATTTTCAATTTAAAAAATTGATAGTTGAATTCAATCTCAATTTTTGATTCGACAAAGTAATTTAAAAATTCAATTTTAATTTCCAATTAAAAAATTTGATTGAAAAATTCAATTTTAATTGTCAATTAAAAAAATTGATTGAAAAATTCAATTTTAATTGTCAATTAAAAAAACTGATTAGAAAATTCAATTTTAATTTTCAATTTAAAAAATTGATAGAAGAATTCAATTTTAATGTTCATTTAAAAAAAGCAAGTTGTTAATTCGTTTTCATTCTGCAATTATAAAATCATTCACTTAATAACCACAATTGAACGCGCCCATTTTGCACGCAAACACGAAGAAACATTGGTGCAATATTTAAAATAAACCAGCATTTGTTTCCAATTGGTTAACCCGATCAATGTTAACGTTTTTCCTGCGGCGTGGGAGCTGGATTAAAAATAGAGGAAACCCAATAAACGGAGAGGAGCATAGCGTGTTCCTTGGAGGGTGAAATTTAAAAGTTACCATTACTGCAGGCGACCAAACGCGATACTGAAACGCAACACTGCTACCTCGAACTTCCGTTTAATGCACATCCAAATTCGATACTACACCGAGGCTGAGACTCCGGCTAACACAACTCGTCACAGAAAAAAGCCACAGTACTATTTTTTAACTTGTTCCAACTTTATGAACCGTGTACGAATAAGCTTGAATCAGTTTACTTTTACTGCACCGCGTTTGCAAAGCCGCCATTTTAGAACGTGGAGGACGAGGTAGAACGTGGTACGAGAGGGTACTGTTGCCAACCCATGAGTTGCTGCGTAGAGAGGCTACGAAGATGTCTACTTTTCTCTAATTCCGTCATTTTTTATTTTTCAAGTATTTCCTCTGAATTCATCAGGAGTTTCGCAATCAGTAAGGATTATTTCCATAGTGTAGCATATCATACGGTACAACAAATATTTCCTTAAATAATCCTTATGTAACATGAAGTACGATACAAGAATAATATACCTCGTCACTCAAAGTAAAAAGAAAAAATTTTCACAAAAATCGACGAAGCAGCAATCGTACCCCCAATTAAATATCAAATATTTCCTTAAATAACCCTTATCGACAAGAAGTACGATACAAGAACAATATACCTCGTCACCCAAATTAAAAATAAAAAAATTGTCACAAAAATCGACGAAGCAGCAATCGTACCCCCAATTAAATATCAAATATTTCCTTAAATAATCCTTATGTAACATGAAGTATGATACAAGAATAATACACCTCGTCACCCAAATTAAAAATAAAAAAATTTTCACAAAAATCGACGAAGCAGCAATCGTACCCCCAATGAAATATCAAATATTTGCTTAAATAACCCTTATCGACAAGAAATATAATACAACAACAATATACCTCGTCACCCAAATTGAAAAGAAAAAATTTTCACAAAAATCGACGAAGCAGCAATCGTACCCCCAATTAAATATCAAATACTTCCTCAAATAATTATCACAAAAAGTAAAAAATAAGTCGAACACAACTGGGCACCCAAATTAAAAAGAAAAAGTTTTAATGAAAATCGACGAGGCAACGACCGTGTCTCCTTGTCAGCTCGATCACCCCAGGCAAAAAGAAACGACAATGGCCGACCTTCATCAGACAATCCACTACTCGTTAACGTTTTTTTTCGTAGAAATCTCTTTAGGTCCGCAGCAGGAAAAAGCCGCGTCGATTCGTTTTTCGGCGGGCCACGTCAGCTACGGTAAGCCGTGGTTCTGCAAAGGGGTGTATCGGGTCATTTAAAGGGAGGCAAAGCGACGCAATCAGTGCTCCGGAGGCGACAGAAAGGGCGAGGAATTTTCGTGCGGCAATGGTGTCGCGTCCATTGAAAACAAGGCGTAAAGCCAGCCGGAGGATCGGGAATTTCACAATTTCCGGGCAAATCCAATAATTTCATCGTTTGTAACGCGCTGAACAACGAATTCGATCAACCTGACGATCGCAAAATAGATTTGGATCGCAGCTGTGCACCTGCTTGCGTGAAAGGGACGTAAGGGTGAAAGGGACGTGGTATCGGAATTTCTGACGGTGCGCTAAACGTTTCGGATACAAAGGAAACGATATTGCAAAGGGAAGTTTTATGCACACTTCGTTATGGAAACGAGGGGTTGGGGTGGGTTTTTTCAACTGTGGGATCTTTTATTTTGGGGGGTTTTGAGGTTCTTGTTTGGAGGGTTGTTTAGGGAATTTTTGGGATTTGGGGATTTGGGAGATTTGAGAGATTTGGGGGTTTGAGAGATTTGAGAGATTTGGGGGTTTGAGAGATTTTAGAGATTTTAGAGATTTGTGAGATTTTAGAGATTTTAGAGATTTTAGAGATTTTAGAGATTTTAGAGATTTTAGAGATTTTAGAGATTTGGGAAATTTGGGAAATTTGAGAGATTTGAGAGATTTGAGAGATTTGAGAGAAGTGAGAATTTGAGAATTTGGAAATTTGAGTGTTTGGAAATTTGAGAATTTGGGGAATTTGAGAATTTGGAAATTTGAGATGGAAATTTGAGAGTTTGGAAATTTGAGAGTTTGGAAATTTGAGAGTTTGGAAATTTGAGAGTTTGGAAATTTGAGAGTTTGGAAATTTGAGAGTTTGGAAATTTGAGAGTTTGGAAATTTGAGAGTTTGGAAATTTGAGAGTTTGGAAATTTGAGAGTTTGGAAATTTGAGAGTTTGGAAATTTGAGAGTTTGGAAATTTGAGAGTTTGGAAATTTGAGAGTTTGGAAATTTGAGAGTTTGGAAATTTGAGAGTTTGGAAATTTGAGAGTTTGGAAATTTGAGAGTTTGGAAATTTGAGAGTTTGGAAATTTGAGAGTTTGGAAATTTGAGAGTTTGGAAATTTGAGAGTTTGGAAATTTGAGAGTTTGGAAATTTGAGAGTTTGGAAATTTGAGAGTTTGGAAATTTGAGAGTTTGGAAATTTGAGAGTTCTTGGAAATTTGAGTTTGGAAATTTGAGAGTTTGGAAATGTCAGAATTTGGAAATTTGAGAGTTTGGAAATTTGAGAGTTTGGAAATTTGGGAGTTTGGAAATTTGAGAATTTGGAAATTTGAGAATTTGGAAATTTGAGAGTTTGGAAATTTGGGAAATTGGAAATTTGAAGAATTTGGGATTTTGAGAGTTTGGAAATTTGAGAGTTTGGAAATTTGAGAATTTGGGATTTTGAGAGTTTGGAAATTTGAGAGTTTGGAAATTTGAGAATTTTGGGTTTAAGAATTTGAGTACATGAAAATTCGAATTTGGCTACATCCGAATTTCCAAAAACGAGAATTTGAAACCCAGGACTCGTGTTAATGAGATCAACTACATAACGCCGAATATCAAAACCAGTCCGTTTCCTAACACCGCCATGTTCCCTTTGTAAGTTTATCACCGCCCAGTATGTACTACAACAGCGTTGTTTGAGATGCAAGAGGTACAATATCACAAAGGACACCGAACTCACACACGCTGTTCGACTCAGCCATTTCAAACAACGCTGTCTGTTTGTTTAGGATACAATGTATCACATTACTCCGACAGATTGTTCTGATACCTAACCTTAACAGATAGGTGTTGATCCTTGTCATCCTTAGCCGCTTTGCGACCTCCATCTTTGTCTTCCGTATCGAGCGCCATCTTTGTCTTATGACCATGGTTTTTATTCCGGTATCCAACTTCGCTGCTTCAGGATGATTCGTTGTTTTTATCCTGGCTTATTCTCGTTACAAACTTGCTGAACTTTTATCCTTTTGTTGCTAACACGGTCACGTCGCGGTGATTGTTTTCGAACGAATCAGGAGGGGAAGGATCGATAAATACTTTGGTAAATTCTTGATGGGTTACAAGGTTTTAATGGCAGAAGGCACGTATGTGAAGTTGTCCATTTTTTTAGATTCGATTCAGTAATTTAATTTTTAAATGTTTTTATTTCCTTATTTTCAAATGTTCACAACCTGCATAGATCTCCAAGTTGACAGAATCTGTTGAGTTTTTCAAATGCGTCAATTTTTAAATCTTCGAGTATCTTATCTCAAAATTCCTAAATCAATTCTCCAAACTATATACCTAAATTTTCAGAAGCTGCGTTTCAAAAATACTTACCGTGTCGTCCAACTTGTCTCCCCGACATCTTAAGTGCGTCACTGCCGCCATCTTGTCCCAACAGTCCAGTTCTTGTCGTCACCGTTATGACCTTGTTACGCGGAGTTATGAGTTCCTAGGAAAATTTGTCCATAATCAAATGTAAGTTACTCGGTGTTCCAGTTAAAGCGTTACAAGCCGATACTGGAAGCGTCTGGTCGTTCGGCGACGCCGATTGGAAATCGATACAGTGTGCGTCATTATCAATCACCGGTGCCGGAAATTATTACTTACTACGGCCCTGTAAATCGGAAAGTCCGAAGCGAGGTGTTGACGCGCTCCTCGGGAAAACTTATTTTCTGCGTCTCGCGATTTTCGTGTCGATAACAGTTTCGTTGAAAATATTACACGGACAGAAAATAAAATCGCTATGAATATTGGTAACGTTAAAAGATTCCCTTAACTATTAAAGTAACTAAAAATATAAATATATTTAAAGTTTGAAAAGAACAAAATTTATAATTTAAACAATTAAATGTGCAATAAATATTTACATATAAATAACACGTACATAAATATATATATATAGAAATAATAAGTATGCACACAAGTATGCAACATATAAATAATGAACATGTACATAAGACTGCACGTATAAATAATAATTATGTTACATAAAAAAGCACACAGAAGTGTACATATATAAATGCATCATTGAAAGAATTAAAGTATGAAAGTAAAGAAAAATCGTGATGCGGCAATATAACGAGAGTGTACAAACGGAGTAGCAGGCTCGCATTCGACGTGAATGGGGACTAATCGAATGCACTTTGAAATTGAATTTCAGGCAGGAGAGACGGAAAGAGCATCTCATCTTAAAGGACAGAAGGAGAAGATAATATGGGAAAAGGCGACAAGAGGGGCATCGCACAGCGCAGCGATGGTGAGTGTTTGTTTAATGCTATCTCTACAATATACGCTGGGACGAGGTGCAATCGTTGCATTCTCACAATTACAACTGTCTGAAACATTTCGCGTTCTACTCGCCCTATTGTTAAGGGAAATGATATTAGACTCTTCTTTCTCTGTGTATTACAGGTCTGGTAATTCTTTTAATATTCTGCGTTTCTGTAATTTTTAAATGCATAAAAGGTTCTTTGTATAAATATATAAAATATGGAGGTACGTCGGCCATTTTAACTGCTCCCAATTCTAAAATGGCCGACGCTGTCAGCGCCACCTGTGTTTTTATATCCCGCGTTAATATTAAAAGTATCTTATTAAAATATCCCAGCTTGAAATTTGAAAAGAATAAAATTAAATTTAATGTAAAATATATATTAGATGTAATACTTGAATCGCAATGGAATTCCCGTAATTCCGTTCAGTAACTTCTAACACCCTAATCTCTGAGAATTGTCGAGAAGAATGTGCAGACAAAGAACCTGTTAAACGAGATTAAGTTTCTCGAGTGAGGGTTCTTAACCAGTCTCTTTTTCTAATTTATAAAAGTTCATCCCGGTGCCGATGTTTTTCTTCTAAACGAAATTTCGTCTTGCCGGCGCATAGTTGTTCGAGGAAGTTGTTTTGATTGCGTGAGACAAAGAAAACAAAGGCACGGCACTTTAGTAAAGTTGGACACGTTGTTTCTCTGTGTTAAACAGAACGGCGGATCAAGTTGCTCGAAGTTAATATCGATTTTAACAGTTTCTCTATTGAAAACTGCGAACTTTTTAGGTTATGGTGCGCCAAATGGGAGAGATCCTGAAACAACTTTGCGAACGTAAATAGGTTACGGTGCATCGATTGTTATTAGGACAGTAATAACTACGTACACGGATCGTTAGGTTTTGTATTAAAACTTTTGGTTTTGGGATCTTCTTTCAACCTCACCTGAATTGATATCACTTATTCTGACCTGACAAATAGAATTCTGTTTAAACAGATAGAACAAACACTTACCTTAATTATGGCGGTACAATCAAGCTAACCTAACTTCATATAATATGATCTAAACTAACCTAACTTCATCTTACATAACTTAAAGTAGCCTAACCTGAGTTCATGTATTGTAATCAAACCTAACTTGAATTAATATAATCTAATCTGACCTAGCATGTAATAAAATAGTCTCATCTGAAGTAGCCTGTAGTTATACATCTATAAGCTAATCTAAACTAACCTGAAGTGAAATGATCTAATCTAACCTAACCGGAACTTATACAACCTAATCTGATCTAACCTTAAATTAAATAACCTAATCTTATCTAACATGAACTTATTCAATCTAATCTAATCTAACCTTAAACTAAATAACCAAATCTGATCTAACCTTAAATGAAATAACCTAATCTGATCTAACCTTAAACTAAATAACCTAATCTGATCTAACCTTAAACTAAATAACCTAATCTGATCTAACCTCAAATGAAATAACCTAATCTGATCTAACCTGAAGTGATAAAACCTAATTTATTCTAACCTGAACTCACAGAAGCTAATCTAACCTAACTAAGACTGATATAATCTAACCTAAAGTACTATAATTCAAGTTGACCTAACCTGAGGTTAATTAATCTGTAAGCAAAAGAGCCTAACGTAAACTAATCACACCTAACCTAACATACAATAATGTAACATAACCTAAATTAATAATAACCTAAAACACTCTAACCTAACCTATAAATTAACTAAAGTAGTCCAACACAAACTAACCTAACCCAATAAAATCTAAACATAACCTCAAATAATAAATCGAATACATTAAAATTAACAATCGAATAATATTTTCGATAATTCCGAAATATGCATAAAAGGAATATTTCCAATTGTTATTATTATTCGATAAAATATTCGAAAGTGATCGTATCCTTTGTTCGATCAGCTAGCATTTAATTGTATAAACAGAGCGGCACGAGGCGAAATAACCAGACACAGGCGAAATCACTGCCACAGTTTGAAACTATTGCAAAACTTCTCTTTTCAACAACGACAGAAACATTTGTTGTACTCTGTACGCGATGTTATCTCTTTTAATGAATGCAGAGTCGAGCTCGCGCGACTACGATTCCTCTACGTTTATTTCTATATGCTCGCCGTCTTTTGTACAACTTCGTGTCGTTTGAATTTTAAAACGAAACATTGATTTGTACGCTTCGCGTGTTCAAAGGAACAGAAGCGTTTCAAAGACTCGTTAAAATACAAATCTGATGGAGTTATTGCTATTAGAGACGACGTTCTGTGATGGGGATTAGTGAGGTAATTTTTTGAGGTTATGAAGATTTGGTGCTTTGAGTTGAAGGGTTTGAAATTGTTTAATGTTATAATTTGGGGAATTTGGGAATTTGGGAATTTGGGAAATTTGGGGAATTTGGGAATGGAAATTTGAGAGTTTGGAAATTTGAGAATTTGGAAATTTGAGAATTTGGGAATTTGAGAAAATTTTATTGCATAAAATAATTTACTAAATTTGTAAATTTGGTAAATCTGAGAAATAGTTGGTACAGGCTGAAACAAACCGCGAATAATCCTCGTTGCACCGCTGTTAATCAGACGAGACGGAGAATTTGGAAATTTGAGAATTTGGGGAATTTGGAAAATTTTATTGCATAAAATAATTTACTAAATTTGTAAATTTGGTAAATCTGAGAAATAGTTGGTACAGGCTGAAACAAACCGCGAATAATCCTCGTTGCACCGCTGTTAATCAGACGAGACTCGTTTGCCATTAAATTTTAAATTGAACTCTAATCGCATTGGCAAACAGGTGCAAGCGCAATCCACGTGTATAGTGATTGGACAGGTAGTAAAACGCGTTAGGTAGTATAATTGATGGAGCTTTAGAGACCTTCGATGAATCGAAACAAATGAACACTGATTTCCCTCCTATTTATTCAAATCAGGTAATATCTGGCTAAATTATCTCGTTCCTCAATCTTCTGCTATGTAGTATACTCAATTTATTTATACTAATTTATTTTATTTTTTACTTACTTTATTTATGTTAATTTATTTCATTTTGCAATTACTTTATTTATATTAATTTATCCTATTTTATAATTACATAATTTATGTTATTTTTCTTTCATTTTACACTTACACTATTTATATTAATTTATGTAATTTCATATTTACTTTGATTGTACAAATTTATTTTATTCAAACTTGTCTTTCGTTCATCTCATAGTAACAGCTATACGAATTACATAAAATGTAAGGTTATGCAATATCTAGAGACTTCGTCTCTCCAACCATCACTTCAAAATGGTGGAAGCTGTTTCTTCCTCCACACAAGGTTAAAAACCCAACTTCAAACCGGATCAATGGAACAAAGATTCCTATCCGTTCGCGGCTCATAAAATGATAATCGGAAGATTCGCGAAGACTTCTCAACGAAAGAAAATGGCTGGTCGAACGAGCTGCATCAGCTCGAGTCGTGTCACCGAGTGCCCGAACACGAAAGTGCACTCGCTTCCGGCTGTGTAATCTCCGCCATCGGGCGAGTATGAAATTGCGAAAATTTACAAAACTTCGTGGAACTTAATCTTGGGCGAATTTCAAAGGAAGAATTCGACTTTTGAAGCAATTCCGGAGCGAACGGCGAAACTTTTCCAAAGGCCTTTTGAAAAGTCGACGCCTCGCCAATTTCTGCCGAGATATTCGGACTGGGGATCATCTCAAGCTAAAAATTTGGGGATGAAATGCTTTCGTGAAGGACACCATTTTCATTGCTGAGGGACATTGCGAAGGGGACAATTTGGGAATTTGAGGAATTTCGGGGATTGAGAGAATAGGGGTTTGGGGGATGGGAATTTGGATTTTGAGAGATAGGGACGTGTGGAGAGTGGGACTTGGGAGAGTGGTGGACTAGGGAGAGTGGGACTTGAGAGAGTGGGACTTGGGAGAGTGGTGGACTAGGGAGAGTGGGACTTGGGAGAGTGGAACTTGGGAGAGTGGGACTTGGGAGAGTGGGGGACTAGGGAGAGTGGG